GATGGCATTCACGCTATTATTTTTAGGGGCAAGAATAGCACGTTCACATAGCCATTTGTGATCGTTGAAATGGCTCCGGATGTTCGGAAATACACTGCTCTTCAGTACTTCAATCGATTCGACGACAGTGCAAAAAGTATCCGGAATACGGATGAGTCCAGTGAGTAGAATGGAGAGAAGATGAGAAACACTATAGCGAATATAGTTCTGATACAGAAAACAATACAGAAACACGCCTGTATATATGTATAAAATACATTGGAACATTCTGATGACGATATACGACGCATCAGAAAGAATGTGATACATCATGCGCGTACATCAAAAATGTAGAATAATACTCCTCCACTCCATTTTCCCTCTCTATCCCTCCGCTGTCGAAATAGCCCCGCTCGAGTTAACAAGAAAACAATTTGACAAAAATCCGAAATCTTTTCACTATTTTTTGAAAACTGGGCCAGAACTCTTCCGTCCTCCCTCCCTTCGGTCTCGCCGACCCTGTCTTGACCTTCCCTTGAACCCAAGGGTGTGCCACGCAAAGTTTGGCTGCTTTAGCTCTTACAGGGACTGAATGCATAGAGAACAAACGAACATACAAACAAACAAACTTTCTTCTTTATATATATAGATGTAAAACTTCATTTTTGACGATAGTGGGTAATGATGGTGATGATGGTAGTGGTGCTAATCGTGAAAATAACAGTGATAATGGAGGAGGTTTTGAGGATGATGTTGAATAAAGAAACTAATTTAGAACTTATATTTGAACTGTGTACATTAAAACACACAGACTTACTAATCTTTGTACGTTTTACTTTAATACTTCTTTCGATTATATTTCAATACTATTCATTTATGTTTCTACTGTAGAATCAAGCATGATCATGTTTTTTCCTACTAAGCAACATAAAGTTCCATGTTTATGTTACTAAATGAGCGTAAAAACTAGTTGACACATACTGTCGATGATCTCGATTTTGTATTTTTTACTGCAGATAATCCTCCAGCACTTTATGCAGTTAATAGTGTTGTTTATTGAGTAGACTGATACTTTGTTGTTATAAATATCTTAAAAACTACGCTCAGCTGTTGTTCGTTCGTGACTTATGATGACAGAATAGCCCAATGGATCAAAATATGCATATAACTGGAAAGTAAAAATAGGCAAGAGCAATTGAAAGAGAAATAAGAACAGGGAACCAAAATGTCCTCTGTCTGACATTGTACCTGAGCGGCATACGTTGCAAAAGTAAGTGCATAGAATGTCAAGCAATATTTGCGCATCTTTGTAATACGCTGGAGAATCAATTTTTTCCCCATTCAGAAGGGCAAAGTCTGAACTTAAAAAGCATGCTAAGCAAAATTTTTCACGGTAAAGATTGAAGAAGAAAAAATTGAAATAAAAATCGTCCTCAGTAGTCACTTTAGAAATTCCTCTATCTATAGTCTTCTTCTTCATTTCGCGGTCATAGAGAAAACGTTAATATAATTTTTACGTATTCACGTAATATAATTTTTACGTTTTTCCACTCTGATGACCTAAAAGAGAGCTACATTTTCTTTGATTTTACTCTAGAAATAACTTTTTTTCGGAACATTGATTGATTTGCATTCATTAAGTCATTGCAATTTTAAAACTAACTATTTTTCTTTTCCATATTTTCTTCAGTGTTTACTCTAAAAAGTTTTGCCTAATATGTTTTTTAAGTTCAGACTCTGCTTTTCTTAGTGAGGAAAAAATTGATTCTGAAGCATATCACAAACATCCGCAATGTTTTAGATTATCACAGGGTATCCACAGATACCCATAAGTCCTTTGCACTTTTTCTGTGATATCCTGCCTTCGTACAAAATAAACTTAATCGATTGATGCGCAAATATTGCTCGACATTTTGTGCATTTACTTTTGCAACTTATGTCACTCAAATACAATGTCAGATAGAGAACATTTTGGTTTCCTATTTTTCCCTCTTTTAATTAGTCTTAGAATTCTTTCGAAAAGGAAGTACTTACTCTATAGACTACAGTGAAAAATTTCAAAAATGAAAATTTCAGAAACGTACTTACTTTTACGGCTTCGGATTGTTCACAGTCGTTTGTTGTATATTGTTCTAATTTCGTCAATAAACATATTTTCAAATGTGTTAACAACTTGTCATCATCGTCGTTATTTTCGAGGAACCCTCGAATATTTTGTAACACAAATAATGTCAGACCAATGGTCGGATTATGTGAGCCGCTTATGAGTTTTGTTGCGACTTTAAATGGTGTCAAGACAGTGATTAATCGGTTAATCATGTTCCAAGAATCACTATTTAATTTGTACAATGTTAATTTATCACGTTGTTGTTTAGTGATATTGATCTGATGCTTCACTCCGAATAGATCACTTAATATTCGCCCATATACCGTCAATGATTTTAACAAACAATATGTTGAATTTTTAACATCAAGTGATAAAGTACGTTGTATTTTGTTTTTAATTGTTGAACTGATTCGGTCGCGCTTTTGATTAATGCAAGATGTTAATACTTATGTTTTTCCTATCAATGTAATTAATCCACGGCATTTAAACAGCAGATCACGGATGGCTACATCACCAATATCCTTAAGTGTTCCTTCACTAAAATTATTATCTATTTGATCATCATCGGTTTCAATCTTCATTTCATTATCGTCGTCGTTGGTGCTGTTTTCTTCTTCTTGCATTCGATTATATCCAGCACTGAACAACCTGACTCACGAACTACCTCTATATTACTAACTTATGTTTATAAATGTCAAAAATTGTTGCTCTCGGTTATAGAGAGTATAGTTAGGTTGTTGGGCGGGTAATGCATCTTTCATTTAAAAGTTCTTTTGTATGGTTAAGTCGACGATTCATTGCCCAGAAATCATCTCGAACTAATTCTATCTCACTTGAACTTAAAGCGATCCGAAACTGTTCTCATTAACTAACACTGACAAGGGGAAGATCCCATGTGTCCAATCGCTTTTTGCATATAAGACAGAGAACCATATGTAATCGAGGTCGTGCACAATTTGCGTTCGCTGCGAACTCATTTCTCTGTCGCTTTATTTTCGCTGTTCAGGGATACATATACAATCTACATAGTGACATATATATATATACATCGTAGGCATCCGAGGCTTTTAGGTATTTAGGTATTTAGGTATTTAGGTATTTAGGTATTTAGGTATTTAGGTATTTAGGTATTTAGGTATTTAGGTATTTAGGTATTTAGGTACATAAATACTTTCTGTATTATTCAACAATGGAGCACCATATATAGAGACACATCACACCCAACATCCGTTCCCTGCGAACTAAACCTAGTACCCCCGACGTCGGGGAAGAGGGCAGCTGAGGTTGACTGTGAGTCCGAAAACATTCAGC